GTGGGTGAGTCCTATTCAGGTGCCTAAGAATTTGGGGGTTACCGTTATAGCCAATGAGAACAAGGAGCTAGTTCCAACTCGGGTGGTAATAGGGTGAAAAATGTGCATTGATTATAGAAAACTCAATTCCTGCAACCGAAAAAATCGCTTCCCATTGCCCTTCATTGATCAAGTTTTGGAAAAGGTGGTAGGTCATTTTTTCTACTACTTATTGGACGGATATTTAGGTTACAATCAAATTGAAATTGATTTGGAAGATTAGGAAAAAAAACCCACCTTCACTTGTCCTTTTAGAACATTTGCTTATAGACGTATATCATTCGAGTTGTACAATGCCCCTAGAACATTCCAAAGGTGCATGGTGGAGATTTTTAGTGATATGGTGGAAAAGATTGTGGAGGTATTTATGGATGATTTTTTAATATTTGGAGATTCATTTGAAGATTATTTGGAGAATTTGGAAAAGGCATTTGTGAGGTGTGAAGAGAAGACTATGGTACTTAATTGAGAAAAATGTCATTTTATGGTAACTGAAGGAATAGTTTTGGGTTATATTGTTTTTGAAAAGGGGATCATGGTCGAAAAAGTAAAGGTTGAGTTAATTTCAAATTTGTCTACCCCAAAAATAATAAAGGATATGCATTCATTTCTCGGTCATGTCGGATTCTATAGATGATTCATAAAGGATTTCAATGCTACATCGTGCCCTTTATGTAATCTTTTGGCAAAAGATTTTCAATTTGTGTGGTCACTTGACTGTGAGACTGCTTTTTAAAAACTTTAAAACATGTTGATTTTGCCTCCAATCATGCAACCACATAATTTGGACCTCGAATTTGAACTTATGTGTGATGCAAATGACTATACAGTGGGAATTGTATTAGGCCAAAGACAAGACAATAAACTTCATGTTATTTACTATGCTAACAAAATCCTAAATGAGGCACAAATGAATTACAATACCATAGAAAAATAATTGCTACTTGTTGTCTTTGCACTTAATAAATTTAGATCTTATATCATTGGTTCACCCATTTTTGTCTATACTGATTATTCTACTTTAAAGTATTTGTTATCTAAGCATGATGCAAAACCGAGACTCATTAGGTGGATCCTCCTCCTACAAGAATTTCATATGACCATTAAAGATAAGAAAGAAGTTGAGAAAGTGGTATCAGATCATTTATCTTGGCTTGTGTTTCAGAACACGCAGGAGCATTTGCCAATTCAGGATACTTTTTTCAATGAATATTTATTTTCTATTACTGCATCTGGTCCTTGATATGTTGACATTGTCAATTTTCTTGTTACATGACAAATACCATCTCACTAGAGCCTAGAAGATAAAAGAAAATTTTTGGTGGAAGTGAATTTTTTTTCTTTGATGACCCTTATTCGTTTAAATACTGTGTTGACCAGGTTATGAAAAGATGCACAACTGATGGCGAGCAATAGGATCTTATATCTTTTTGTCATTCAGAAGCATATGGAGGCCACTTTTCCTTAAAGAAGGCTACTGTAAAGATCTTGTAGTGCGGTTTCTATTGGCCTAACCTGTTCAAAGATTGTTTTCAATTCTGTAAGATCTGCGATGAATGTTAACGGTTGGGTGGAGTGACTTGAAGGAATATGATGCCCCTTACTCCCATTTTGGTGATCGAGATCTTTGATTGTTGGGGTATCAATTTCATGGGGCATTTCCTATCATCTTTTGATAATCTCTATATTTTACTGGCCGTTGATTATGTGTTTAAGTGAGTAGAGGCTATATCAACTAGGAAAAATGACCATAAAGTTGTTATCAAATTTCTAAAGGAAAATATTTTGTCCAGATTTGGTATGCCTAAGGTGATTATTAGTGATGGTGGCTTACATTTCTATACTAGACCATTCAGGATTTTAGTGCATAAATATGGTATCACACATAGAGTGTCCACTACATATCACTCACAGATAAATGACCAAGCTGAATTGACTAATAAGGAAATTAAACATATATTAGAAAAGAAGGTGAACCCTAATCATAAGTATTTGTCAATTCGATTGACTGCTGTTTTATGGGCCAACTGTACAACATACAAAACTTACCTAGGTATGTCTCCCTAGAGACTGGTCTATGGCAAGGCTTGTCATTTCCCAGCTAAGATTGAACACCTAGCATATTGGTCCATCAAGTCATTGAATTATTATTTGGGTTTAGCTGGTGAGCACAAAAAATTACAATTGAATTGTCAAAATATTTCATGATAAATCAATAGTGAGAAAGACCTTTGACCTAGGACAGAAAGTACTGTTATACAATTTCCATCTTTACATTTTTCTAGGAAAGTTACGGTCACAATGTATTGGCCTCTATATAGTCTGTGTTGTTTATTCTAATGGGGCAGTGAAAATTCAAAATCTTAAGAATGGTTAGAATTTTAAAGTTAATGGACAGTAGCTTAAGCCATTATTGGAAGGTTTTTCAAAGGAGGAGGTTGTGGAAGATTTGGTTCATCTTGTGTATCAGGATCTTAATACTGAGTGATTACTTTCGATGATAGTAGTGTACAATTAGTAATTTTCACTTTCTTTCTTTTGTATATAGCTTATTTTCTTAGACTTACTTCTTTTTGTATATCTTGTGTTGTTTTGCAGATGGTGGTTTTTTTTTATAGATGCAGTAGTGCTAGGTGTTTTCTTACCCTTAGTATATTCATTTTCTCATTGCATGACTGTTCTACAATGAGGACAATGTATGATTTAAGTTGGGGGATAAGGGCACACAGTTGTTATGTACATCATCATGTTGTTTGTGAAAAATGATGAAAAATTAATTTTTTTGAAAAAAAATTGAAGAAGATAAGAAAAAGAAGACTAAACATCTTATTTGTATTATATTATTTTATTTTATTTAGCATGAGATTGATTGATTATTTGACTTGAATCTTGAGTTATTTCCATACTAACACATTAAATGAGTTTATTCTATGCTTAAGTATCATGTACATGTTTTCATGAGAAACACAATCCTATGTGCACTATGAGAATGCTATTTTTTGCAATTTATTGAACAGGATTCACATCTTAAGATACTTGACATACATAGTAGAGATGAATGCATTACCCTTATGAGCTTTTGTGCTATTCTTTATTGGAGGGTTGAATCACATTTACTCAAAAATAATATTTTTATTTTAATTTCAATATCTTTCAATAATCTCATTATATTTGTTTTGGTTAGTGTAAATGGGGTAGTTAGTTGATGTTATCTCAATGCAAAGGAGTACCTTGCCCTGTATTTTTGAGAAATGATCTTAGCCACATGTTTGAGCTTGAATGTAAATTTCATTTCTTTAGCCACATGTTTAACCAAGTCATGTATAAAATATGTTATCCTATCTTGGTTATCTCGGGATGAAGAGTGCCACATGAAAAAAAGGGGACTGTGGTTGAAAAAAAAAGGGAAACAAAAGAAAGCAAGAATGGAAAAAAGTGGGATGATGAATTTTGAGCATATTGTTGACATTCATGGAAAGCACAACAAAAAAATTAAGAAAGAAAAAAGGTGAAAAGACAACAAAAAGAGAAGAAAAAGTGATAAAATGAAAAGGGGAAAGAAAGAGAAATGAAGATAGCGAGGCAATTGATTTCAAAAGAGGAAATGTGGTTAATAAAGTTATATTCTCGAGATAACTTCTTTTTGAATTCCTATATCACTTCATTTCTTTAGCTTAATTTTTAATATAGGCCACGTTACAACTAGTTAAAGTCTTTTTTATCTCAGAAATTATGGCAAATGTATGTTCTAAATCAAGTTAGAGATAGGTTAGTTGGATTACTTTCATTTGCCTATCCTTCCTTTTATGAGATTTTGCCAATGTCGTTTCATTTGCATAATTGTACCTTATTTCTAGATTATATGTGAGCTATGCTTTGCTTTGAATTACAAGGATTTATCTCATATATAGGCAATGAGTGACACATCAGTATAATCAGAGTGTTGTATGTTTTGAGAGAAAATCGTTGGTGAGATTTGTATTAAAGCTAATTTTGGATAACTAATGTAGATGTGGGTTTTACCTAAAAAATTTCTTAAATTGCATCATCATTCCACACACACACACAAGTCTCTTATGGAAATGTGTACGTGAATACTTTTTCATAGCATTTAAATATGTGGTGTAGTAATGTGTAAATGTCTTAAAAGGATGGGAGAATGATTAGTGTATCTCATTGTTGTTTAGAAGATTATAATATGTTCTAAGTTCATGATTTACAATAAAGGGGAAGTTTGTAGGTACCTCTATTGAAAACTTTCAAGAGACACAACTCGTCTACTAGGGGTGACCTAAGAGTTTAAAGGCTTGTTGCATTTGCTAAATGCAATCGTGTACCTACGAAAGTGGCTTTAGTTTTCATTTAGTATCTTTAATTGACATGCATCTTAAACTCTAGGTAATGCGTAATTAGTACATGTTCTGTGTGTTTAATTATTAAATTATGTGTAATTAGGTAATGGTGCGTCTTAGGTATGTAAATAAGTGTTAGGAAGTTTTAGGATTAGTTAAAAAAAATAAAAAAATAAAAAAAATGAAGGAAAACACAACCAACTAGTTGATTATGAAACTTCAACCAATTGATTAGAGGAAAAGTTGACTTCAACCTTTTGAAGTAGTCGATCAACCGGTTGAAGGTCAAAAATGACATTTTTAGTGTTTAAAGGGGGGAGACCAACGGTTTCTTCATTCTCTCATTTCAAAACACTCCCCCACTCTCTCTTTCTCCTCTATAACTTCCAAAAATACTCCCCCACACCCTTCCTCACCAAATCTATCTCTCATCTTCTCTATTCATTTCATTTCACTTACTCACTCAAACCCTAGGTTTAGGCATGGTATCTAGGAAAGTTGTAGGTTTCATTGCAGATGGTTCGTTTCTAGGGACCTTGGGCCATTATTATTTTCATTTGTGCTATGGGTATCTATTTGATAGGCATGGACAACACTTGAGGGACTTCTATGCCAGCATCTAGGCAGGCCATGAGGAGTGAGAAAGGCAAGGGAAAGACGACTGTGAGGGAGCAACATCTCAAGGTATCGCCGGAGTCTGAGTTTTGGAAGAGGCAGAGGGCTTGGTACTAGTTTGTAGGATTGTGCAATTCAGTTTAGAGTTATTATTTTAGAAGGTTGATGGGTATATTTGTGTAAAGAGTTTTATAGTGGCTTGAGATAGGTGGATGGAGATCTTTAGATCCTAAGGACGACGATGAGAGGCTAGATTATACAGGTTACACTCAATACAAATAGTTGAGTATTTGGGTTATCAGAGGCCAGTAGAGGAGATTAAGTACCCATACCCTAAGTTTGTTGCAAATTTGTTAGCTGAGTATGTGATAGCGATGTACAAATACCCAGCTTAGTTTGATGGACAGTTCATTGTAGGCAAGTTGACTGCCAATTATCGGACTATGAGTAAAATTTTGCATTATAATATTATTCGTAAGGAGTCCGTTAAGAATTTGTCTATGGGGAAGATTATCTTGTTGTACAAGGTCATGCAAGGGTCATAGATAGACATGTCATTGTTTATGTGGCGAGTGATCAGAGACTACATATTGGAGACTAAGCCTAGGGGGAATATGCCATTTGGGAGGATGATTAAACAATTTTGTATCTAGATCGGAGTGAAGAAGACACACGAAGATCATTTGACTCCTTTGGAGAAGGGACTTATTAGTAGTTGGTCAGAGAGAAAAAGTGAAACAATGTTACGAGTTGGTACAGATAGACTGACATCCACTCCTGCACTACAACTCTTTCATCTACCACTGTTCCAACCACTTCAAAAGTCACGCTACCACAGAGGATTAATAGGTTGGAGAAGATAATGGAGGGTATGGAGGGCAGATAGATGGATATACTGGAGACACAGTCACGGATTCTGAAAGACTTGGAGTTCTCAGCTATAGTTTAGAGGATGATGTTTGAGGCCCTGTTGCCTGGTGTGATGTATCTAGAGGTTTCACCACCAACACCTACCTCCCAGCCTAATAGTTCAGTGCCACCTGCATCTACAGATGTGCCATCTCCTACTTTTGTGACTGAGCCTCGAGGAGATGAGCATAAGTTAGGCAATAGTGATTCTAAGGAGGAGGGAGAGTATGAGTCAAAGGGGGAGGCTTTTGATTAGTCTGTTTAGTTGTTAGTAGGAATGTGTTCCTAGGTAGTAGTCTAGTTGGGTTTTGTAAAAGCTTAGGTTAGTAAACTTTTAGTTATTATCCTAAGGTTATTGTATTTTGACTTTTTATACATGATAGCATATATATATATTGGAATCCTTTGGTTTGTTTTGTGTTTTTAAATTTCTTGTTATGTTTAGTTTGTTGTGTGATTGCTGTTAAACACATCTCTTATTTTTGGTTTGCTAAGGACAAGCAACACTTATGTTGGGGGTGCGTTTAACACTTAATATTGCATATTTCATTTAGTAGACAATTCATTTTATGCGTTTAATTAATAATATCTCTCCAATTTTGGTTTGATTATTGATTGAAAGCACGTTTGTGTTTGTAGGTGTGAAACAGGTGATAAAGAGTTATGTTAATGCTATGGAATGAAGAAGGAAACAAGGAGGAGCAATACATGAAAGGTACTTCAACCGGAGTTTGATCACCAAACTTCAACCGGTTGATCAGGAGAAATGAAGATGCTGAGAGTACTTCAACCGGTTTCGTTATCACATTTCAACCGGTTAATTAGGCATTTGACAAAAGATAAAAAATACTAGGAGTATATCTACCGGTTGGTCATGACATTTCAACTGGTTGATTAGGAAAAGCTAAAGCTAAAGCAAAGTGCTAAGAGTTGTTGAACCAGTTCATTGAAGCATTCCAACAGGTTGATGCTAAGTCGGTTTACACAGAAACTTTCTTGCAATTTCATTCGTCAAAGGGGGTTAGCTAAACACTCATGAGGGGCGGCTCCGAACTTCTAGGCGAGCATTCTCGTTGGTTGATCTCACCTCCCAAGCTTCAAGTAAGGTTTTCCATTGATCAATCCGGGCGAACGAAGCTTCTTCGACAATGCATCCATCACTCGGGCCACATGCCATGACGAATGACAAGAGGGGAATAGGGGAACTTATATGGAGATGTAATTTTAGAAGAGGGGTCCTCTCTCTCTTTTCCTCTCCTTCATTAAGTTTTTCACTTAGAATATGGAGCAGAGGTTTTGTAACTTTCCATTTTCAAAGCTATGCCGGGTTTTAGAGAAGAAAATTCTTGTGGGTAATTCAAAATTTTGTTCTTGTGATATTTGCACTTATAAATTGTAAAGTACTTATTGTGTGAGAAATCTCTTTAATTTAGTCTTTCTTTTTCATATGATTACCATGTTATCTATTACAGAATTCGGAGTAATGAGTTTTGTTTTCGACTAAATTTCGGCACGATCCAATGGATCATTCTCATCCATAATCAAGTGTGATGACTCACTAATGGGTTGTAATCAAGCAAATGTTTTGTAGGAAGGAAAAACTGATTTTGAATATTAGTTGTTAAATGAATACTTTGATTTCTCGTCGACGATCCATCTGACACGAGTAATGCTTGGAACTCATTTATACAATCTAAATGTTGATCATGCTAGTTTTTATTTCGATCTTTAAAGCTACAATAGTGAGTGATTTTATTTTTTAAAAAATATCATCTGTTCGAGTGTGTTTGAATACAACTCCGAATGAGTAAAAATAGAGAGTCGAAATATTTGATTATAGTGAGTTGATTCATGAGGATTGACGGATTATTTTTCTATTGACTACAATGCATTAATTCTCATTTTCCATCTCTTCCACAAATCACAAGATTCATATTTTTATTTACACACATATCACTATTCGAATTCCATTGGTTCTTTGAGGAGGCGACCTTGGATTTATTCAAGTTGCTATATTGCAATATTTTTCTTACGCTTGGGAAGACCATTGTTATATTTTGAGAAGAAGTGATTCGTTTATATACAAAAGTGACAAGTAGCTACCGCAAATACTATTTGAGACGGCCGTTGCCGCTACAAAGACTTTTTGAGACTTTACTTATTATGACGAGGTATGCCGTCACAACACTTTGTCGTAATAAATGGAGTTTCAAAAAATCTTTGTGGCGGCAACAACCTATTTCAAATTGTATTTGTGGCAAAAAATAAACCTTTTATAACAACAATATCATCACAAATTTTTTCCCCTCCAAAACACCTTTTTTTTTTTTTGTGATGGTGAACATCAACTATTAAGATTATACTAGAATATCTAATCTTCTATTTTTAGAATATGTATATTTTGTTTTGGTCAATGGTATAATTTCCATATTATAGCCATATTTATAGCTTGTACGCATAACTGTAGCCAGACTTTAGTTTGTAATATTGTATATATATTACCTACGGGTGAATCAAGAAGAAAAAGGAAAACCAATTCTTTCATGGTATCAGAGCCCTAGCAGCCTAGCAAGCCCTTACCCATTTTTTTTCCACGATTTCTTCAGCCATCATAATCAGCCTTTCTCTCAGATTCTTCTCATTATGGCCGACGATGGGAAAATAGATCCCCACTCTCCCTATTATCTTGGGTCTGGAGATCAACCCGGGAATATGATCACCCACGTGATCCTCTCTAATGACAATTATATTGCATGGGCACGTGCAATTAAGTTGCCTTTGAAAGCTCGCCGAAAGTTTGTGTTTGTTGATGGGACATTCACCAAACCGACGGAGAAGAAGAAACAACTCGATTGGGACACTGTCAATTCTATGCTTGTCTCATGGATCACGCGGACTCTTGATCCAAAATTGGCGGCCTCCATTACTTTTCATGATGAAGCCAAACGACTTTGGGATTATCTTGAGAAGCGATTTTGCGTGGCCAATGGTCCTCGTCTTCAACAATTGAGGGCCGATATTACCAACTGTAAGCAAACTTCGAATATGTCTATTGATGATTATTATACCCATTTGATGGGATTGTATGATGAATTGGATCGTCTCAAGCCTCTCCATGTGTGTGCCTGTGGTAATTGTACTTGTGATGTTGCTGGTCGATTAGTTACGGATCGGGAGGAAGAGAAACTCCATCAATTTCTCATTGGCATTAAAGATGAGTTATATGCAACGGTACATTCTAATTTGTTGTCCACTTCTCATTTACCTGATCTCGATTGTGTGTATCAAACATGTCTTCAGGAAGAAAAGTCTCGGGGTATTGCTTGAGATAGAGCGGACAGGGAGGAAATCCATGTGTTTGCTCTACAAACTGCACGACCCAAGTCTCGTTTTACCCGTCCCGATAAATCAAAATTGTATTGTTTTGTTTGTAAGCGATCGGGTCATGATGACAATACTTGTTTCAAAACGTAAGGATATCTGGATTGGTGGGAAGATCGGAACCGTGGAGTCCAAGGCAGTGCAAGACCCAATGCACAACCACCTCCTGCGGCTCCTCTGACTGCTCCTCGTGGTCGGCCCAAAGCCGTGGCCGCCACGGTCGTGGCTGCCAATGCTGTGGCTGGTGGGGGGACCGATTCAATGGCCTCATCTCATGGGTCCTCTGGCATTTCTTTGCCTGACTTAAAACCGGAGCAGGTTCAAATTTTATTGAATATGATAAATAATCGCCAGCATGATCAGATGATGGGTGAGTTCTCTTCTTTTTCCTGGATTATTGATACTGGTGCTTCTCACCATGTTACTGGCACTGAATCATGTTTGACGGACACTCATCATATTTCGCAATGTTCAGTTGGGTTACCTAACGGCGCACATGCCATTGCTACTAAGGCTGGCCGCGTTTTGGTGACTGATGGGTTGATACTTGAACATGTTTTATTTGTACCACAGTTACATTGCAACTTAATCTCGGTGTCACAATTAATTGATGATTCTAAATGTCTTTTACAATTCACTGATTCATTATGTGCTATACAGGACCTACGCTTGGGGAGTCTGATTGGAGCCGGTGAACGTAAAGATGGACTCTATTATTTTCAGCGGATTTCTACAGTGTGTGCGGTAATGGTTCTAGAGATTTCAGATTTTGAGTTATGGCATCGTCGTCTGGGGCATCCGTCAGATAGAGTTGTCAAGTTAGTTCCGGCTATTTCTTCCAGTACTTCTAGAAAGAAATTGAATAAAGCATGTGAAGTTTGTCCTCAAGCAAAGCAAAAACGTGATAGTTTTCCTGTTAGTGATAGTAAAGCTAGTCAAATCTTTGAACTTATTCATTGTGATTTATGGGGCTCAAATAAGATACCCTCTTCGTGTGGAGCACATTATTTTTTGACTTTGGTGGATGATTTTTCAAGAGCTGTATGGGTTTATTTATTGCGTTCAAAAACACAAGTTTATCAAGTTTTTTGTTCATTCTTCGCTATGATTGCCCGCCAGTTTGAAACACATGTCAAATTAGTACGGAGTGATAATGGTACGGAGTTTAAATGTATGTTGGATTATTTTGATACACATGGCATTATTTTTCAAACCTCTTGTGTTGGGACTCCTCAACAAAATGGTCGTGTGGAACGAAAACATCAACATATTCTTAATGTGGGTCGTGCTTTGATGTTTCAAGGCAATCTTCCTATTACTTTTTGGGGAGAATGTGTGCTTGGTGCAGTGTATCTCATTAACAGAACTCCTTCTGGTTTACTCCACAATAAAACTCCCTTTGAAATTCTCTTTGGCCAGGCACCTGAGTTTGATGAACTTAAGGCATTTGGTTGTTTAGCTTTTGCCCACAATCAAAAGGCCAAAGGTAATAAATTTGCTCCTCGAAGTAGGAAGTGTGTTTTTATTGGTTATCCACATGGGAAGAAAGGGTGGAAGTTATATGACCTTCAGACAGGTGACATCTTTGTTTCCAGAGATGTAAAGTTTCATGAAAATGAATTTCCTTACGAGACTGTTTCTACTTCTCAAGTGCATGCTTATTCCTCGTCGCCACCGGATTCTAATGTGGGGATTGATGTTGATTTTTTGGAAGACTTGGAGTCTGCTTTGGTTGATGATCATGCAGCCCCTGCGATTGGGACTGACATTGCGCTAAATCCCACATTGCCTCATGTGCCCCCTGCACTTCTGTCTCCTCCTGCCTCCACCGATGACTTAGGGCGCGGGTTGCGGGATAAGCGTCCTTCCGTTCTTCTTCGTAACTTTGTTACCCACACTGTACAATCTTTGAGTCCATCTGAGTGTTCATCGTCTTCTACTAGCTCCTCAGGTACTCTTTATCATATAGCACATTATGTGAATTGTAATAAGTTTTCTCCACGACACCGTGTTTTTCTTGCAGCGATCACTGAAGGTATTGAGCCTCGTTCTTTTAAAGAAGCTATGCAAGATGAAGGTTGGCGCGAGGCTATGCAGAAAGAAATTGCTGCTTTAGAAGCTAATGGCACCTGGGAAATGGCAGTTTTACCTCCTCATAAAAAGGCTCTTGGTTCTAAATGGGTATACAAAATCAAATATCATGCGGATGGGCAAGTAGAGCGTCTTAAGGCTCGTCTGGTTATTTTTGGCAATCATCAAGTTGAGGGGGTTGATTATAATGAAACTTTTGCTCCAGTTGCGAAAATGGTCACTGTTCGTGCCTTCTTAGTAGTTGCAGCGGTCAAGAATTGAGTTTTGCATCAGATGGATGTTCATAATGCGTTTCTACATGGTGATCTTGATGAAGAAGTTTACATGAAACTTCCTCCTGGTTTCAAAGTTCGCACTCCTGGTTTAGTGTGTCGTCTCAAGAAGTCTTTGTATGGTCTACGACAGGCTCCACGGTGCTGGTATGCTAAGTTAGCTGCTTCTTTGAAGACTTATGGTTTCCTTCAGTCTTATTCAGATTATTCTCTGTTTACTCTACATCAGGGATCGATACAACTTAATGTCCTTGTATATGTTGATGATCTCATTATTTCTGGTAATGATGCTTCCGCTGTTGACCATTTCAAGGCCTATTTGCACGAGTGTTTTCATATGAAAGATTTGGGTGTCTTGAAGTATTTTCTTGGTATTGAGGTTGCTCGTAATTTCGAAGACATCTTCTTGTGTCAACAAAAATACACTCTTGATATTATTGGGGTCCCGTCCCGTTGGCTTTCCCATGGAGCAAAATCACACATTGGCTCTCGCCAAAGGCCCTTTGCTCGCCGATCCTGAAAGGTATAGACGACTTGTGGGTCGTCTCATTTACTTAACCTCCACCCGTCCTGACTTGGTTTATGCAGTTCATATCTTGGCTCAGTTTATGCAACACCCTCGTCAGGATCATTGGGATGCGGCGCTTCGTACGGTTCGCTACTTAAAAAGGTGTCCGGGTCATGGCATTCTTCTTCGCACTGATTGTGAGTTATCTCTGACAGGTTGGTGCGATTCAGATTGGGCTACGTGTCCTTTGACTAGACGGTCTCTTACTGGTTGGATAGTGTTTCTTGGAACTTCTCCGATTTCTTGGAAGACCAAGAAACAACATACGGTGTCCCGGTCTTCTGCTGAAGCCGAGTATTGTTCCATGGCTGTCGTCACTTCAGAATTGAAATGGCTCAAAGCTTTGCTTGTGAGTTTGGGTGTCACACATTCGCCAGCCATGCGCTTATACTGTGATAGTCAGTCGGCACTCTACATTGCTCAAAATCCTGTCTTCCATGAGCGTACCAAACATATTGAAGTTGATTGTCATTATGTGCGTGATGCCATTCGTGACGGTATTATTTCTACGTATCATGTGTCTACTGATGATCAGCTTGCCGACATCTTCACCAAGGCTCTTGGCAAGCGCAAGTTTCTGTACCTACTTGGCAAGTTGGGCATTTGTGATCTCCATGCTCCAACTTGAGGGGGGTATTAAGATTATACTAGAATATCTAATATTCTATTTTTAGAATATGTATATTCTGTTTTGGTCAATGGTATAATTGCCATATTATAGCCATATTTATTGCTTGTACGCATAACTATAGCCAGACTTTAGTTTGTAATATTGTATATATATTACCTACAGGTGAATCAAGAAGAAGAAAAAGGAAAATCAATTCTTTCATCAACGCAACAAAAACCTTGTCTTAAAAAACCCTAATTCTTCTAATGATATAGATACTAGGCTAGTTCCCGTGTTGGCTTTTTGGAATACTTGAAGAGAATTAAATTTGTGTGTGAAGCTCGTTTGGTTAGCCAAATAGGATCGCTGGTTCAAAGTTTGCCTACCATGCCATCCTGGTAAACTTTGACATTTTATCAGTAAGTGGAGGTTTATGTCCGCAAAACACCTTTGTTTATGCATAAGTTTTCCTTGCTTAGCTAAATGTTATTTTTCACTTATTTTGAAAATGGTGGGGAATTATTCTAAATTTTTTTTAAATGATAACTTAGTCTGTATGTATTTTAGTAGGGCTTTCAATGGAGTAATGATAACTTTTATAGAAAGTTGTGAAACGCCTCCCACGTTGGAAAGTCATGAGCAACAGGAGTGATCATATTCCAGCTAGAGGCGCATTGTGGCACTTTAGAATTGCACTTAGCACTTGGCACATAAGTATCGTAACGAGGATTTCATACGGTCGTAACTAGGAGTGATCAGATCATGACTATTAATTATTTGATTATTTTTTATCGGACGGTTGATGTCACAAATACATACGATCGTATGGAGGATTTCCTGTCTCATCATTTGATTGTGATCCATGATCAAATTATGATGGCTGGATATGGATTGTAGATCGCTAAAACGGACGATCGAATGGATATATTTAAATCTAAAAATGTCTATTAAAATATGATTGTTAGTAACGGTCGTAATTCAAATATTTACATGTCTATTAATTTACAAACATGTCTTTTTACTCTTGAACAGGCACAATACATGGTCAACGTCTATCTAAACAGACACCAAAAGGCCTCTAAATTGGCCAAAATTCTATCATTCAAGATTACTTTCAATTTCCTATAATATCTCTCTCCCTAAAGCTTGAACTCTATCTACTCATCATTATTTCCGTTTCCTATTTGCTGAAATATGTTTTCTACAAAAAGAAATTCAAGTCTCTTTGCAAACTAGAGAAATCTGTAGATATTTGGGTTTGACTTCATTTGTGTATTATGCAATGAAATATTGGATTTGATTATGCACTTCATTGTATTATGTAGGTAAATTCGATGCAACCTGGTATACATTGATTTACCAAAAGTGCTGGGGGCGAATATTGTCTTAGGGAAAAATGACTCAATAACATGATTTGAAGCATATTACAATCATCTTCTTCATTATAGAATTTTTGTAATAAAATATGCTTGGCAGTGGATTGATTGAAAAAATCCGACTAGAATAAACAATTATGGATTACTATATTTGATTGATTGTCTGAAATTCTCATATCATTTTTACGGATTTAGATTTTGATATACTAATAATAGTAAAATAACATATAAATATGCAATGAAATTAAGTGATTTGTGATAAAATTGCAGGGGAACTCATATCTTGCTAAAATTGAACTCATTGAATTATTTGGGTTGGGTCGAAATCTTGATTCTTACTCGGATTTTGGATATATATTATACAATATGAAATCCATCGGATCAAATAGAATTCAAATCCTCATATTTAAATATTGAGGGCTGGTTTGATGGGGACTTTCTTTTGTCTTCTATTGTATTTTTTTTTTTGGGATTTTTTGGATTTATATACATAACTTTGGAATGAACAAAGGGATTTTGTATTTTATGCAGTGAAATTTTCAATGAGTGTGGAATTCGTCTGTTAGTTGTTTATAGAATTAGATCTATTCATGTTTGTCGCCGTTCTACTTGTTGGATTTGATTGTATATGAAAACAACTACATCACATGCAACAAGCAGATTGTGGATTCATTTTTGTCTTGTGGGTCCTATTTATAAATGTATAAATTATGTTGTGCTAAAATTTGTACAAACCATAAATTATAGTTGGATTCCTGTCACGTTAATATTATCATATATAGTTCGTGTTTAGTCAAATTTGTGTCGTATTTAACTATGTTCATGTCGATCTATTTACTTAACACATCTAGTAGGTCTATACATTTATCACCTAACACTGCAAAGGTTAAAACTCAAACCAGTTAACTTTGTCATTTTGTATTTAGTTTGCGAAGTAGGTCTTGAATCATCAGGCCAAACACTGCAAAGGTTAAAACTCAAGCCAGTTAACTTTTGTCATTTTTGTATTTAGTTTGCGAAGTAGGTCTTGAATCATCAGGCCAAACAGTCATGACATGCTTTCAAGGCTACAAAGCTTACAGTCATTGTCGTAGAAGTTTCTTGACAACCCACAAGGCATATCCTGGAGTGTTACTAAGGCATGAGAATATCCTATACATATAGCTTTCTATCAACATCTTCTTGTTAGCCATAAACCTAGCTTTAAACGACCATTAAAATATGAAAATTTGTGGCAATTACTTTAGTACAACCTACTGTATATAATCTTGAACACCATAGATGAGTTCATCAATCAAGCCCATCAACAAAAATGGCTTCAGGCAACATTGCTGTGCTTAATGCTCTTGACACTGCACGAACCCAATGGTACCATATCACGGCCATTGTGATTGCCGGGATGGGCTTCTTCACTGATGCTTACGATCTCTTCTGTATTTCCACTGTCTCCAAACTCTTGGGTCGCCTTTATTATTACAATCCAGCAACAAATAAGCCTGGCAAGCTTCCTCATACAATTAACAATTTTGTTGTCGGTGTTGCCCTTGTTGGTACAATAACCGGTCAACTAGTCTTCGGTTGGCTCGGCGACAAGTTAGGACGGAAAAAAGTTTATGGTGTCACTTTAATACTTATGGTCATTTGTGCCATTTGCTCTGGCCTTTCTTTTGGCTACAGTGCTAAATCTGTGATAACCACACTTTGCTTCTTTAGGTTCTGGCTCGGATTTGGCATTGGGGGAGATTATCCGCTCTCGGCAACGATCATGTCTGAATATGCTAACAAGAAAACACGTGGGGCGTTCATCGCTGCAGTGTTTGCCATGCAAGGTGTTGGTATCATCTTTGCCGGGCTAGTGTCTATGGCACTTTCTAGTATCTTCCTTAGCAACTATGAAGGACCAAACTTCCAAACGAATCATGTTCTTTCTACAGAACCAGAAGCAGATTATGTGTGGCGAATCGTGTTAATGCTCGGAGCACTTCCAGCACTTTTGACTTATTATTGGAGGATGAAGATGCCTGAAACAGGACGTTACACAGCAATTATAGAAGGGAATGCCAGACAAGCCGCGATTGACATGGGTCGTGTTCTTGATATCGAAATTCAAGAAGATCATGACAAGTTATCACAGTTCAAAGCTTCCAACAACTACCCATTAATCTCAAGAGAGTTCTTTCAACGCCATGGACTTCACCTGATAGGTACCATGAGTACATGGTTCTTGTTAGACATAGCTTTCTATAGCCAAAACCTCACTCAAAAGGACATATTTCCAACTATGGGCCTCACTAACAAAGATGTTAATGTGAGTGCTCTCAGAGAAATGTTCGAGACATCAAGAGCAATGTTTGTGGTTGCCTTGCTTGGCACATTCCCTGGCTATTGGTTCACAGTCTATTTCATCGAAAGCATGGGTCGATTTTACATTCAACTAATCGGGTTCTTCATGATGTCCGTCTTCATGCTTATTATGGGTATCAAATATGATTACCTTAAAAATGAAGAGCACAAATGGATTTTTGCAGCTTTGTATGGATTGACATTCTTCTTTGCAAATTTTGGTCCAAACAGCACAACATTTGTTCTTCCAGCTGAGCTTTTTCCCACTCGTTTGAGATCCACGTGCCATGCATTGAGCGCCGCTTCTGGGAAGGCTGGCGCGATGATTGGGGCGTTTGTCGTGCAAAGCTACACATTGGATGGCGATATTAAAAAAATAAAGCATACGATGATATTTTTGGCATTCACAAACATGCTAGGGTTCTGTTGTACGTTCTTAGTGACGGAGACAAAAGGGCGATCATTAGAGGAAATTTCAGGCGAGGATGGTGGTCAGAATGAGACGCAGATGACCAATAAACAACGGGTGACTCTCCCAGAGGCCTCATGGGAGGGATAGAAATAAGTGGTCTTTGTCTTTGCCTGAAGGTTGGGGTTAATAAATGGGCAAAAGGTAAATTTTTTTGCCTGAAGGTTGTGTTGGGTGATGCGTTTTGGATCTTCCATAAATAAGAGAAACGGAGACTTCTTTTGCTTTTTGAATTAAAGTGTGATTTTAATGAAACTGAATACAAATATGGATAAATGTTTATATATTTCATAAGATCTTCTTTTGGTTTGTTTTTGTGGTGATATATGTTTTTGGTATGTTTTGTAATTTAATCTAATACTTATATTCATCTTATGCAGAAAACGCTCTTGGGATTGTGTTGATTATTGTGATATATAAGTGGATTGCCCGCAGAGAGTAGACATTGGTATACGTAGTTGAATGTGTAGTAATTTGAACAAAATACGTTAACACGACACAAAATTAACATTTGTTAGAGTTGATTTAATCTTCAAATGGACCTGAAAATGACACGACATGCTAACTTAGTAATTAACTGATTTGATTAGTGTGAAACACGAATCATCTAAAATTGACATAATTAATATGTTTAATTAATATTGTATGAACAAAATGCCACATTTTTTTCATTTTTTTTTTTGAAGTATTGACGTGAATCCTTATAAAGCAAGAGTATTTTTTATTGTTCTTAACATTACAAAGATTCAGTGGATTTTTAGTTTATGAAAAAATCATGGTTTAACAGAAAATATAATTTTTAATAGAGTCCAATGATGAAACATAATTCATGTAGTTGAGGCAAACAATATTGGGACAATGTTGAGTTAAGTTGGACCTAGTAGAGACATAATGAAAATTTAAACTGGTGTTTGTCCCAATGAAAAATCAAATGCCAGTGTGTTTGCCAGAACCGGTGACCGAAAATTACTATTCTTGGAGTTTAAATAAACGACAAAAATTTAGTTTTTTTTTTTTTTTTTTTTTATTATAATCAAAATTTTTATTACAATAATTTGAGTCTATAATCAACTTTATAACATTACAAACTTAGGAATTAAAAAAATCTCAAAAGTTAACTCATTGTTACTACCACCCACTTTTTTTTTTTTCTCTTACTCTCTCTCTCCCCGATAAAAAAAAATAAAACAAAAATTAAAATTAAATACTCTATTTCCCTCTCTGTGGTAAAAAATAAAAAAAAAATTGAAATATCTTTCTCGACAATATTAACATATTTTTCTTTTGTCTCTCTCTCACATAAAAAATTAAAAATAAATTAATTTTTTTAAAAAAAATAATAAAAATAAAAAATTTTCATTTAATATTTCTCTTTTAGATCTCAAATTGAATTGAGCCGCCCCAACTACAACTGCCTTGGTATTGCCATTCGTAAACACTCAGTGCTACAGCAGCACAAGCAATGTCATGCTAGAATGCAGGAACATTATTCATTGTTTGCCAAAACGTCTCCACAGAAACTTATTAATATTTCCCCAATCTGACATAAAACCTAACTTGACACCAGCCAACTTCAAAAGGAGCCAAAAAGTACCACATACACTTTTTTTCTTCTCTGTCTAAAATGACATAAGTTCCAATGTACCACAAGTGGGAATCTTTCATGGCTTCCCTTTCGATGTTAAATCATGCACAATGATGTTGGAACATTTTAATTTAATTTTTATTTTATTAAAACATTCTTATAGGTCCTAAACGTGTGGTGCTTTAATCATAAGTTAAAGATTGTCTAACTCAACTCAACTAGAAGTATATAACTTAATTGGTTATACGCGAGGTGTGGTTTCTTTGAGCGGAAGTCTATCACTCTCCTAGGGCTTCTTTAATGGACAAATGATTAGGAGATAAAGTCTTTTATATATATACTAGTCATAATCTGTGCCTGAATGTATGATAGAACAAAAAATTCGAGTCCTAAAAAATCAATATCACTATATTAAATAATAATTTTTTTTCTTCATTTATTTGATTAAATCATTCAAAATTTATTTTTATTCATTATTTTCTTAAAGATATTGACAAAATTTTCTCAAAATATGTAATTCGATAATTTTTTTTAACATATCTATAGTATCGTATATGGATAATATCTGAAATAAAAATTATGTTAACTTATAAATTAATCAAATATTAAATGGTTGAACATGTGATAGAAATGAGTGATGTGATGGTTTGAGGGAAAATGTATAAGGGATAAAATTCAACTTCCTATGTGTTTTATTATATAGATTTGTATAGATATAAGAGAAAATTTTATCTAAATCCCCTGTAATTAGGTCTAAATTTAATGATACTTCATTCCAATTTTGAAATTTCACTGTCACTCCATGTTAGTGATTGTCGGGTTACACCGATAGCAATGATTGATTTATAGAAATATTCTCAAGTATTTTATAGAGTAAATTTTATCCACACTCCTTATAAATAAACTTAACTCTAATAATACTCCTTGTAAATAGACCTAACTTAACAACACTATTTCTTGATTTTGAAATTTCAATGCATTTCCTTGTAGTTCTATTATATTAGCTTTTATTTTGATCAATTTAATATTCAATTTTATCAAATTAATTTTATTTATTTAATTTAAAATAAATTAACATTTTATCTCATCAAATCAACACAAAATTGATATTTAATTTTATCAAATTATCCTTTAGTTATATTAATTTAATATTTCATTTAATCAAATTAATATTATTTCTTTAATTTAATATTAAGTTATTATTAATTTTTATCAAATCAACATCAAATTGACATTCAATTTTATTAAATTAAACTATTTAATTTGTTAAATAGAATATTAAATTCCATTAATTTAAAATTTAACCTTATCAAATTAATGTCATTTTTTTTAATTTAACACCAAAATGAACATTCAATTTTATTAAAACAACATTCAAATTTATTCAATTAACATTAAATTCAATCAAATTAATACTAAATTAATATTTAATTTTCTCAAATTAATATTTAAATTTATCAAAATTAAGATCAAATTTATTCAATTAATATTAAATTTTATCAAATAATTTTAAATTTTATATATGAAGTATGATGTGTGAGAAGCGGTCGGGCGACATTGTGGAGGATATATGATAGCAGAGAAATTAGAAATGGATGACATTGACTTTGACTTTATCGATTGTAATTTTTATTATAGAAAAATCATTTTTAACTATAAAATTATTATGATAAAAAAATATAAAAATTATAAAAACTTGATTATATAACCAAATGAGTGATAATATAATGACTAATATTGTAACAAAGTTATAATACAATGGTTTAAAATAAAAAATTCATTGAGATAATATAATGATTGAAATTATATTTATTGGCCGACTAACACATATATAGTGGGGAAATAATTAATGACATTTTAGTCTATTTACATAATAAAGGGTAATTTTAATATTTTCACAAAATATTTAGTGAAATCATTATTTTATTTACTGATAAAGACAAAAGTTATTGTTATAGGAGTTGTCATTGAATTTAAACTAAACTACATGGTGTTTAGATGAAACTTTTCCTAAATATAACATGTAGATATAGTATGATTTCAATCTTTGTACTATATATATGTACAATAAAGATGTGTGTGATATGAACAATAAAGATCGAGAGCAATGCATTAGGATAGAATTTTGGAGAGACGTGTTTTTCAATTTGGAAAGAGAATCATGAAATATAAGAGTATGAAAGACAGTTAATGTTTCAGTATAGAAAGTGATCCCTTAACATAAGAAATAAAATCAGGAAAATAATGATAAGAGTTGTAATTTATATTTTAGGGAGAGAGAGAGACAGAGTTGAGGAATAAGAGATCGCTTAATTACCAGATTTGATTGGGTTAGAGAATTAAATTTAGGGATGTTAGTTTTGGAAACTAAAAGTTTTGAGCGGCCAAATTTTTTTCAAAGCTAATATGGTACATCGGATCGAAACGATCTATGACGTTAATACCTTGAGACAGTTTAAAATATCGTCGGCCGTTGAATGATGTTTTTTTTGATCTCAAAACGATCTGAACTGTTCTTTGTCTCTTGAATTCAAAATCGTTGTACTTTATATATATATATATATATATATATATATATATATATATATATATATATATATATATATATATATATATATATATATATATATGTGTGTGTGTGTGTGTGTGTGTGTGTGTGGTAGCCATCCCTCTCTCAATTTACCACTTTTCCATCACTCTTGTGTGCATCAAAGATTGAGGTAGAACACCACTTTTTTCGATTAAAGCTACAAGAAAACAAGAGGTCGCTATTGTTATTAAGTTTGATCGTCAAAATCACGATTTATAGATTTGTCGACTACCTTTATTAAATTTAAGATGATTATTAGATTTGATTATGTAGCATATTTTAGATCCATATTTATTAGGTTTGATAACCCAACAAAAGAAATCACATCAAGTTTAAGTATTTTCTTAAGTATTCTTCTACAAAGGGTGACCAATGGATTAAATGGCAGCCTCCTCTAATGGGCTGGCTGAAAGTTAATATTGATGGGGCATGCAAAGGAAATCCGGGGGCTTTTGGAGGTGGTGTTATTATCAGAAATCAAGATATCCAAATTCTTTTAGTGGCTTCTAATAACTATGGGATTTGTACTAATTTAGAGGTGGAATGTCGAGCTTGCATGGATGCTATAGAGATTATTTGTGACCTCGGATTAAGGGATTATTATAGAGTCAGACTCTAACATCTTTGGTTGATATGTTGTATCAGTCAACTCCTCCAAATTGGAAATTATGGTATTTGTGGCCGATGATTAAGGACTCCCTACAATCTTAGGATATTATCATAACTCATGTTTTTAGGGAAGGAAATATGGTTGTTGATTTCTTAGCCAATAAAGGGGTAAGAGATGAGTATTTTTGGAGAGACTTTCACTATGATAAGCTACCTTTACAAGGTAGGTTGCTTATTCTCCATGACTCCTTACAATATGGTAATATTCGTAAAGGCATGTGAAATTGGATCGCATTGGAAGATATT